GAGCAAAGAGAATCCCCCTCCATAATTAGGTCAGTGCACTATACTTTCCACAAGGGCAGATTATGCGACCAGTGGATTGACAGCGGTCACTTTTCCAAGCACAAGTTATTTTCACATAGATATTCCTCTTATTATAATCCAATAAATGCTTTTGCACTGTGCTTATGTGGTGAAATACGTGATCTAATAATTATGGAAAGGTTTCATAAGTAACAATAATCATAGCTGATCTTGTACCAATCCATCACTTTAAGTCTTGCCACACTGTTCATTTCTGTGTGGTTTATATGGTGTAATGTGAACCATCTTGTCCAGTGGTGGGTGTGGCCAGAACTCAACGAGGCGAAGAAACCAGACTGAGCGGGAAATCAAGTAAAAGCAGCTCCCAACATAAGGGTGGAGAATGAAAACAACTGCAAATACAGCGCACCAGAATAGACTCGCGTTAGACAGTTAAAAACAAGTTGGTAGTGGGTGGAGCTGATCTGCATGACAGTTCTTCTAGTGTATTCAGGCTTGTGTAAACTAATGGGTTTGGCAACGTTAAGGAAATCTGAGCATTATACCTAGTAAGCAGTAATGGAAACAGTACTTTGAAAATGTATTTAGTTACAGAATAATATGTATGTATTTTGTAACCTATTCTGTTTCAATATTGTACTGAATACTGAGTACTGTATTCTGAACACTTGGAATACTTTTACAGCAAACTATATTTTTATGAGCTGCATTATATTATACTGAAAAAACACAACATAGAATTACAAACAGCTTCATTTTTATTGCAGTGTTTGTTGTAATTAAGTGAATTAATTAAAGTCTGATTAGAGGGGGAAAAAAAATTCATGCACGTGCACACTGCAAGAGCTGTGTTTTAAACGTTTCTTACAAAAAATGCATAGTTCGAAGAACTATGCAAGTCAATAACACCGTGTATTCCTTTGATTTTAGGAAAGTAACATTATTCTGAATAGCACCAGATGAAAAAGTCACTGTACCGGAATACTTATTTTCAGTACATGTATTCAGTTAGTTCCCAACACTGTTAGTAAACAAGTAATGCATTAAGACAGTAAAGTTTAAAGCAGGGAGCAATATCGGCTCATTTCCAACATATTTATTTATATTATATTAGTAGCCTAATACTCCACTACAACAAGTTACATATTGTTGTTAAATATAGCTACAAGATTTTAACTCCAAACATCATACAATGTCAGTCACGCCATTATTTGCTATTCCAAGTCCTGCAGCCCTAATAAATGTACAGCAGGTCACCTCTGAAGCCTAAACTCTACTTTTCTCCGAATGTAAGCAGTAGTTTGAGAAGATTTACAATGGACTAAACCAGTCTAGTAGTTAACCATTAATAGGCATGGAGCTGACTTTAACATCAGGGAGTCCAGGCAGCCATTATCCTTCTCCAAATATTTACACAGCTTTGACATTGCTAAGCTGTCTGCCCCACGCTCACCAGATACACAGACCACAGGCAGAGCGCTGGGATGCTCCATGGGGGTTAGGGTCAAGTTTAAGGCCCACACATACAGGCCCAAGGTGGATCTATAAAGCTGCAACTGTTCCCAGGAAACAACATGCAACTAAACCTGCTCAAACTAAGTGCTGTCGATAAGATACTTCACCCAACATGCACATATATAACTAAGGTGCATGAGAGATTCATGATGGTCATGACAGTGGCACAGCCTCACTTCTGCCAGTCTATCCCAGGGCAGCTGTGGCTACAGAAGCATCTTACCATTATCATCTGTGGAGTGAATGAATAACTACAGCGCTGCACTTTCAAAAGCTTGTCAAGCTTGTAAAGTGCAGTTAAAGTGCAAGGTGTGTTAAAATATAAGTGACTGTAATAATTAAGCTCAAATGTTCTTGTTTTTATATACTCAAAGTATTGAAGTTATTTTACTTCCCCTTTCTGAATTAATCCAACACTCCAATAAAACATGTTCCCATTGGCCAAAGAACCAGTTGCTATTGGAGAAAGTAGAGAAGGCCAAAAAAGCAAAAGGAAAACAAAAGATTAGGGAAGCGAAGCATGTTTAGCTATTGACAATATATTCACACATGGTAATGAGGCCCAGACCACTGGTGATTCAGAGCAGTCTAATATATGTGCTTGATGTTGTACCAGTGCCTATACCTATGTTTTTAATGTATTGTGCAATTGAAAATACAGCTCAATATAAAAAATACTGATCCTAATTTAGAGATGTTCATGCCCTGTTTTGCATATTCATTTGCTCATAGGAGCAAAATTGAGCTGCGGCTTGTTGGAGTCTCTGTGAAAAATTGCGTTGTGTTTTTGCTCTGCTTTTAGCATGTTTAGGTGTTTAGCACGCAAGCAAACACTTGATAAATGAGGCCCTAAATCTTGTATCAGATTGTTTTGGTTCAACATGAGGACTTCGCCATAAAAACCCACTTGTCCCTACTTTCTTCTTGGTCTTGAGACTAGGGCACATGTTGTGGTGGGGCCAGGGCAGCGTGGCGGATGGAGAGATGACAGGGTTTGGGTGTGCCCTTCTTGCCTGTGTGCCGCTGCTACTGTTGATCATGTGAGACCTGTTCTAATTATACACTTTTCTACAGAAGAAGGTCGGCCCTGTCCTCTGGGCAATCAGTGATTTCAAGACGGGGCATCTGTGTGAGGGACATGAATAACATGCACACTACTTCACAATTAGGTGACTCAATTAAGCACTCCAAACATCTATAATAAATGTTTTCAGCCTTCTTTTCTGAGCTTCATTAATCAATCAATTCCAATTCAATTGTTTTGGGATTCAAGGTGGAAATTATACAAAAACAACTCAACTCAACAGCTACTATACTTCTACCACTACCAGAGTAAATGGTTCAGTGTGGTCAACCAACAAATTATAATAAGCATTTGTCAACCGTTATGGAAAGAAATGTTTTCAGGAATGCACAACTCACATGCTCTTCATCTCTATAAAATTTTTTTGTTTAGTTTTTTGTTAAGCTAATTTACTCATTTCTATGGGTCTGTATGTTTTAAACGTATAGCTATAACTCCAATAATGTTGAGTGAATGACTGTGTTTGTGGTTTTAGGCCTGTTCTCCTCTCTCTCTCTCTAACCTATCAACAGTCTCCTAGCCTAATTTCCACCATGTTTCTTTCCCCACCTCTCTGTGTCTTTACTGCTGTTTCCACTGTGGTTTTCAGAGACCTGCTCTGTTTTTCATTACCAGTGGAAAACACGAAGGGAACGGTTAAAAAGTATCGCCTATCTCCATTAATACACAAGTCCTGGTGGAAAAGTCCAAATGACCAAAATAGACCACAACTTTCTCCATAAAGTGCCAACCAACGCTTTCCAGTTGCTGACCTTCCACTCAAATTGTACAAATGTTTAAAGAAATGTAAACGCCCTAAGATACTGTTGTGGTATTACGTCTGCTTATATATTGTTGTACTAAAAAGTCATGTGTGTATCGTATGGTATCAGTGTAATGCATTTATGTATGTATTTATTTATTGTCTGGAAATGCTTCATTCATGACATACAAGCAATGGTGGTTGTGGTTATATAAGTAGTATGCCCACTTTATTTTTGGAAAAATGCTAAGAGATCGGGAAGGGACAAGATCTTGCAAAATAAAATTGCTAGAAGATTGTGCACACAAATGACCTTGTGATATTATTCTCTTGTGTTCACATTTAGCACCAGAAACAAAGCAATGATGAGTTACATCTCTTGAGAAGTCATAGTTCAAATAAGAAAAATTATTAAACAAAAATGTGTGGCCAAAATTGTATTAATCACACATTTAGTCAAAATCACATTGCGTCTAGTTGTGGACCCAATGCTGCGTCTTGTGTCATTACATGAAAATTAAGTCTCCTCCCATTCCGAGTAAAAGAGTGTGGAAGAGGTGAGGTAAGGTAAGAATAAACTGTATGGGGAAAAAAAGTAATGTTCTTTAAAAGTTCTTTTAAATCAGGAAGCTGCATAATAACTAAATCTAGTACCATCACAGTGCAGGTCTCATGATTCTTAGTCATATATAAAGCATTACAAATGTGGCATTTCACTTGGATCACATGTTTTGGTTTAACATTATAGATGCTGCTGAACATATGCACATCTCATTAGTAAACAATAGAGTCAAGTTGAGGTCAAACAATGATTCACTGTCCACATGTGGCCAACAATGGTGCCTAAGTGAAAGCACTCATATGTCCTCAGTCTCACCCTGCACAACTATAACATAACCCAAAGTGTAACAACAACAACCACTGCTACAAAAACATAACATGTCTCTGCATATATCAGTTCAGTCCCTCCCATTTAATCTTGAGAAAAAAGTCTGATTGTGAAATTACACAGGGGAGAAACAGAAAGTATGTCTCTGCTGCTCTGACCTAAAAATGGAAAACTACTGCATGCAGTGCCCCAAATCTGCCCCTGATGTTAGCCACACACACATGCCCAGGAAGTGGTTCAACTGACTGGCATGCACTCAATGACTTTATCTCCGCATGTTGTTTATGTATTGTGCTCCAAGCTGCTCAGTTTCAGTTCAAATTTTCATTATTTATGTCTGTGCTGGAGCAAAGCATTCACACAGTCGGCCTTGTGTATGGTGTAATCGGCTGCAAATGTGGTTGACGGACTAAAAATGCCTCCCAAATTGCAGCAAACATTGGCCAAAAGCCTTCGGTCTGTCCTCGAAAATTCCACAGAGCAGTGTCACAATCGCCTGACTTCTGCTTCCTGAATTGAGAGCCCTGACCTCCTCCCTTTTTGCCTATGGTCACATGTCCCAGTCACCTGACCAGAAGTAGGCAGTGAGGAGGAGCACATGCTGTGGCCAGATGGTGTGGTGCATGATACAGACACCAGACTAGTACCATTTGCTGCTTGTTGCTGCATATAGTTCAAACCACTTCCCAAATAGTGTGTGTGTGACTTCCAGGTGTCTTATTAATAACTTTGCGATGTGTTATTCTTACCTTAAGGGAATCAAAACAGGCGATGACTCGTCCGTTGTCCACCTGGCAACTCTTGGCCGGGTGGGCAAACTTGCACTCCTGGTCTGAGCGTGAACATGTGCCCCTCTGAAACTCTCTGCATACCTCCAGGGTCAGCCACTTGGTGTCGCGAATGTGTGCTATGTTCATTGCCATGGCAACAAAAGCACAAAACTTTTCCTAGCTGTTCAAATGTGAATAAAGTACCTTGAGAGTTTTAATCCACGGTTTTTCTCTTGTTGTTGCCTGTAATGGTGAAATGAAACATTCAAGCAAAGGTTCTTTTGATTGAGAGAGCTCCTCGTCGAGAGGGAAATGATAAAGGACACTGTTAGCTGTGAATGCTATTGGGGCATTGTCCTGACAGAGCCACGGATGAAGTCCTTAGATTATCAACACGTTGGTGCCTTTTCTGACCTCACTTTTATTTTAGTGATGGAAGCTTATACAATGTGTCAAACAGGAGCCCTCAGTTAGGTGCAGTGAAGCAGGCAACAAAGGTGATAGTCTGTGTGTAGCCCGCCACAGGAAGGTTAAGGGCACTGAGGACTGAATGGAGGCCTATGGGTCAAAGTTAAAGGCAGGTGGGTGAGACTGTGCGGGCTGGGGTGGGGCTGTAAGGCTGTTCAGTGGAGAGCACTTGGCAGCAGGACCGGTCGGTGAGGACAAGCTGGAGATGGACTGGGGGACAGAGATGAAGGTGTGGCCACTGTCCTTGGATTCAGGTTACCGCGGCAGCAAGCGAGCGAGGCAGGGGGGAGGGTGGAGCTTCAGCTGGAGAAGCAGGTCAAAGCTGCAGCAGACATCAGGGAAGGCACTTCCTCTGGAGGCAAAGAGATGGACAGAGATTAGTCTGATCACTGATCATTGTTACATATCTTAAAACAGGTGTAGAGTCAACATAAAGTCATGCAAACACAAAGAGACTGTGGGAAAGAAGCTGATGTATGTCAGTTATGCAGAGGTGTTAGCTAAAACAGCTCTCCTCCACTCTTCACAAACTCAAAACACAACTAACAAAGAGAAAAGCACACAAAGCAGCATTAACAACATTTGTGCATTTCTGGTGATGGAGGAAAATCAGATCAAACCTGTATCACTTACACTCAAATACAGCAAATGCGGCCATGGCTAATGTGTTTAGAGGTGAGTGAAAGGAAGAGAGTGAAAGCAGGAGGGGAAGTCAACCAGGGTTAGTCATTTCCCTTCTTGCAAAGTGGAGCGGGAGAGTGGACCAATGAGAGGCGGCACAGTTGCAGCAACATTCTGGGCTTAGGGCCAGGTGAGAACGAGGGAGGAGCCAGTGAGTCTGACCTGCATGCAGCACTGTGCAAAGAGACACTAAACTAATGCTAGGTACGGTGTAAGAAATGTACTTAATCCAATACAGATAAAATACAGAGACAGAACCATTATCATGAGGAATTCAGTCTTTTTCTCATCACAAAAGGAGGGTCGCTCTATTTACTGAAAATAAGTTGTGTGTATGGGATGTGTTTTTGTAAGTTTTCCAAACTTGCTTACTATTTTTGGTCAAAGCCTTGGAGGAATGTGAATGAGTGACTCCAGAGGCCCATTCTGCTCTTATCACTGGGGCAAGGCACCACACCCTGTGCAGAGAAATCGCTTATCCCACAGCAGCATGTGCACGTTCAGCAGCGCTGTGAACCCCAGCTAACTTTACAACACTGCAACACACCATATCAGCCCTGCAGCAGAGGAGTGCAGGTCACCATGACCCAGCACCAAGCACTACGTACAGTATATAATCCAGAAAGAGAAACTGAAGGAAAAAAGCTCCATTTCACCTTAAATGACCCCACACAGGAAAAGTCCCTTTGCTGCTGCAGATGACCTTTGGAGTGTTAGCATAGCCATATCACAACAGCCACAACAGCTCTGTCTGCAAAAACACGCACCTCATTCAAAATATTCTTCAGTTGGATATATTATGTTTCAAATGAGCATGTAAAATACTACAAATAAAAACATAATTTGATGTTTTTAGTAATTATATGCAAAATTTTAATGTGCAATCCAAATGTTAGGTCAGTGTACCATAAACATCCTGCGTACCATAGTGTGGACTTTTTTTTAGACATTGTTAGTGTTACATTGCCATAGCATAGTATGTAAGACACCAAAGCATGTTTACTATATAAACACGCATGTTAAGCGTATTTACAATATACACAAGACAATAAATAGGACACCTATCTGATTATTTAGTGTACTATCCTTTGTAAGTGCATTGTAAGGATTCAATGTCAAACGTAAGGTTATTAGTTGCATTTGTATCTATGGTGTATTGGGGCCAGAGAGTGCGTATGTAGAGGAGCTCCACAGTGAAGCATGGTGTAAGACAGTGTCAGACTAATAATGAGTGCTCATTATGATCCATCATGTCTGGACATAGGCATCCATCCGCTATTGATTTTTTCATCTCCATGGAGGTCAGTACGCCACTCCCTCTATCTAATTCCACTTTAAATATTAGGCATCCATTTCAACCGACAACTACCTAATATGATCCATTTCTCCAACCGCAGCATTTGCTTAAACAGTAACTTGTCTTTGGGTGATACTTCCTGTTCTCCTGTCCTTTTATTCTTTATATTTGCTTTCAACATGACCGACTGACCAAGCTCACAGCATCCACGGCTGCTCTCATCAGGACTCCCAAGGTCTTGCGAGCTGGTGCAAGGTCAACTATCGGACAGAGCAAAGATGGCGGAAGAGAGAACCCATGTGCTTCCTATCCCGTTTATGACACGTGGTAGAAACATTATAGCAAAAAGAGGAAGCCACAGGATGAGAACACAACTATATCAGCCCTTGGTCATATGACACCACCGTATGCAGTAATGGCGCAAACATTTCTGAGGCTTTCATTTTTAATTTGTTTTGATTATGAGTCTTCAAATAAATCTTGTGTCAATAATCCTTGCCTCAGCTTCACTGGAACTATGTGTGAAACCTGGCAGCGATCAGAACTGATGGATGGGCCAGGATGTTTGCACTCACAGCGGAGTGTTTTGTCATGGGGGCATGTTCCGACTGATTGAAAAGCGGTCAAAGAAACATGCTTGTTACTAATCTGGGCTGGTCCTGGAGTTGTCATAGTGACTAACTGCCAGAGCTTGCACTAGACAACGTGAAGAAAAGGGTGTGGTTGACAGTTATGACAAGACTTCCTGAAAAAAGATGTATAGCTTTTCAACGTTGTTTGACTTCGACATTAAGAAGAGGAAAAGTGGTCTATTTTCAGCTTTGACTGCAGAGAAAAAGAGATGCAGTAGTCCTCTTTCTTGGCTCGCTGCTGTTAAGTAAAAAAGTGGTTTCAGCATATTGACAAAGGTGGAGGTAGGTCACAGCAGTAGAGGATGCTGGGAGAAATGCTACACCCAGGGCCATGCTGCTGCTACCGCTACTCCATGTGCTCAGAATATAGCATGTCAATATTGCCCCCAGTGACCTTCACACGCACAGACACAGCAGCGGACAGAGACACGTGAGCGTCTTCTCCTCCTAGCACTTTACTTACATGCATATGGACGGTAGCCAGGAGGTTGTGTCCAGGTCTTATATGCAGTAAAATAAGCAGTATTTCTATGCATCTTTAAAAGAAAAATTATAGGTGCATCTTGGAAAAGTAACCTGGATGCAAGTTCAACCAGTTATTTTTTTTCAAGGACCTTTTGAACTTTTGAAATCAATCCAAATGTATTAAAAATGGGAAAAATATAGCAATGTTGTAAAAAAAAAAAAATGGCCCTGTTGTGAAATTATATTTTTTGTCTTGGGCAATGGCTCATAATTTCAGATAATGTGCATATCAATCTAATCTTTCCTCCCCGAGTTATCTTGCCAACAGGTTAAAACACCAGTCAACAAAATAACGCCAGCAAAAACAACCCTTGTGGGCGGAGATAAGAATACCATAAATATCTGCTTTCATCCATCATCTATTTCCTTATTTAACAATTTTAAAATGATAGCTTCAATAAAAAGGTAAGGCCTCCCGAGCAGACTGCAATTACCCCATAAGTGCAATGTCGTCACCATACTATTACCGCCATAATCATCATCGTGTCTCAACTATTAGTTTAACTGAATGGTATGTCATTGGGGTGAATGGCATAGGCAGAGAAAGTGACTCTTATCCCAGAAACCGCACAACAAACAAAGCCTATTGATTCCACTGGGAGCCAACTTCTGCAAGACAATACAAGCTCTTGTTTACCGTAAATAGAGAGATATGCAGACAAAAATGCTCAAAAATGCTAATTTATGCTTCTGTGTGCACACTTTGTATAAAAATGTGTGGTGAAGTCAGTGCACATTGTTGCTAATAGTTGGACTTAGTGTGTAATGAGTGGCTCAACGGTTCATGTTTGTTCAGGCATAGGTTCAGTAGGATGGACAGAGCTCAGTCTACCGCAGCTTAGTGTTGTCTGCATTCAGGCAGGTGATAAGAGGTGCCCTATGCATGCCCACGACAACAGCTTTGATGCCTAACAATGTGCTAACCATGTCTGTGTTATGGAGTAATAAAAAATGTAGACATAACATATTGCAGTAAGCGAGGCTCTTTATCTGCATATTTATCAGCTAATTCTTTCTATGTGCTATAATTGCCCCCGTCCACTGCTTGATCTGAGGCCTGCTTTGTGCCAAGTGCAGCGATCACATGAAAGCATTGACAAGGTTGCGAGGTAGCTGCAAGGAGACAGGACAGGAGTGTTATTAAATGTTATATAGCTGTCTAAAAGGAGTGGGGGTTCATGAGATGTGAGGGGCTGATATAGAAAAAATATAGTGCGATATAGAAAAACAAGGACAGGCTTGTTGGCATGTGTTCCTCTGTAAATGTAAAGCGGCTTTAACATGCGCCTCACCTGCCTATTTCCTCTTAGTGCACAGATGTTCTACATACTGACTGACACAGGCTGAGTTCCCTATGCAATACAGAAATGACTGGAGGCAATATTTTCACAGCCATTACCGAAGGCCTTGCCACAGGAATGGTTCTTATAGAGATAAATCCCTCAAGCATCTATGGTGCAATGTACATCTTTTTAATAGCACAATAAATGTTAGTCAAAGTCAAAATGTTCCGATTGTGTAAGTAAGACATAGTAGCTACATACTGTATAAAGAATCTCTTATCTAATAAACCTTAACCTTCCAGCATACATGAAGTCATCCATATAATCTTGTCTGTAGGGTATATTATAGTCTTTAACATAGGATTCTTACACACACGCGGTACTTGCACAGAAATCTTATCTCGATTTACACACTATTTTCACAGACAGAACACTGCAACAACCTGCAGCTGCGCCCCAGGGTTCACAAAAGTTGCAAAATAATCTCCCACGCATGTGTTTGTATTCCAAAACCAGAAACAATTCTATTCATAACAAATAACAAGTTTGGACTGTTCGCATAACAAAATGCAAAAACCAAACACGCACAACACGTAGTAAACCAAGATTACAATTTCAAACTTAATTCCCCAGCAATAACCATCAAAAAGTGAAGTAAAACTTTCCAAACTTTTAGTCACGCCATGAATTTTGAGTCACGAACAATAACACACCCACATGAATATATTACAAATGTAGTAGAATTTGACTTACTTTTATATCCACTTCTATAAAGATAAGTCATATTGCTCCATTCTGAACGTCTCTGCGTCTTAAAAGAGCTTCTAACCCTCTTTTCCTCTTCAGTTTTCTTTCTGAGTTACTCCCCCTCTGTCAGGCGCATGCAAACACTCACTTAGTAGCGCACATATGCACTAAACACACATACACACTCCCACAGACAGTCACCCTCTTACACAGTCTCTCCTCCCGCGACCCGGAATGCTTGGCCACTTTCAACTGTACTGAAATACTGTGCGCGCCATATAAGGTAGCGGCGGCTTCACATGTCACAGATAATTTACATGCAGAGGGGCGGGAGTTTACCTCAGAACGTATACACAGACAGGCCCGGGACACATGCAGAACCACGCTTCACTATGTATTGAAGGAGCAAAGGAGAAAATATGCACATTCTCTGTTTAAGCCGGATAACTCCCAACATGTCCAGTGTTGAGTCAGACGAAGGGAATGAAAGCTGAGTGGGCGATCTATTGATCCTCTTCTCCTCTGCTTCCTGGAATGACCGTGGCTGTCCAAAACACACACATGCACACCAGCAAAATTTTTCTTGCTAACTAGCGCTACCCCGAGGAAGTAAGCTATTGTGTGGCTGTCTACTTTGAGCCAAGAATGTGTCTTTGGACGAGGTGTTTACGTGGATGTGTATCTATAAAACAAGCTGTCACAGTTGGACCCTGTGGCCCGCATACTGAAGAGCAGACAGGAGACACTCAGGCAGACAGACTAATTCCCAAATGTCTACCTATGTTGGAAAAAAGTAAAGACTGCAGCGCATGGGGGAAAAGATCTAGATGACCCAATAGAGAGACAGAGAGGAGGGTTTCTCATCTAAATCTCTTACCTCTCACATTGCTTTCCGACTTGTGTGTGTGGTTGCTGCTGCGCTTCGGCTAGTCTGGAACTGTTTATGCGTATGTTCAGACAGGCCCCGACAGCAGACCCCCAGGCACCGGCTGGACCATTCTCAGGGCAGGAGGCGGGCAGGCGGGCACAGAGCGGAGCAAAGGCAAGGAGAAGAAGAGGGAAGCGAGTGGTGAGCGGTGGTGTCAGCAGCAGCGAATGAGTTGAGGGAGCTGTGCGGAGCCAAGCGGCGCGGACGGTCTGCTACAGAGGGAGAGAGAGAGAGAGGGAGTGAAGGAGGGTGAGGGAGGGATAAGTAGAGGAGGAGTGTTGCGCTATAGTGGATCCCCTCCCCTGCCTCACTGGTGCTGGGCTGCGCTGGGACTCAAGGCCGGGGGAATCGTCTGTCTGTGTGGCGCTGCTGCTGCCTGGGGAGGAGAAAGTGCTGCTCGCTCGCTCGGCTCTGCTCAGCGGCAGTAGCAACAGCTGTGGAGGAGAAGGAGGAGGAGGCGGGACTGCGCTGGCCCGGCATACAGATCCCGCAGTCCCTTCAACCCTCCCTCACTTCCTCTGCCTAATGTCTGGCCACGCCTCCCTGGTTCCCCCAACACCCGCCCACCCCCTAAAACAACACAAGGAAGTGCTGGCTCAGTTACAGCAGCAGCAGCGTTGCCCTCACCTATCCAGGCAGCAAGAAAGCAGAGGGAAAACTGAGAAAACACAGATGGAAGATAAAGGGCGGCAGGAAGAAGTAAATTAGAGGGAAAATAAACACACAGAAGGGATAAACATGTTGACAGGGAATCGGGATTCCAAATGTGGCACTCAAATATGAAAACAGTTGCGTGGCATCATGGTGGAGGTGATGGCAGCTGCTGTAATAACTTTCAGTTCCTTCATATGTAAATTAAAATATTGGATTCACTTCGTGTTTCTGTGTGAAGTTTCAAGAAAGTATAAAAATAATACATGGAAAGTATACCTAATAATAGTAAGTATAATGAATGTCAAAAAGTTTTTTTACAAAGTAAAATTATCCCCCCACCCACCACCAAAAGAAAAATATATTGCTAATGCTCTTAGCAACCACATAATCACTTGTAAGACGTAAGTTGCAGTCAACCTATCCAGTTCATCTGTTTAAATCTGCAAAACCCACAGAACCAAAAAAGTAGTAAACTGCAGGGAAAGAAGCCAAACCAAAGTAGGTTAAGTACTGCTAAAAATGAAACTAGACTAGTACTGCAGATCAGTGGTCTCTTAATCTCAATCTAACTATCCTCTTTCCTGTATGGTTCGCCTGTCATGACATGTAGCGATCAGGGGAAAAGCCAGAAACTGAAAGGAATTTGATTTGGACCTGATGCTGCACTATCTGGTAGCTATGGAGACACTGGCCTTGGCGTCGCCATGGATGCTTACAGATTGTAGTCAAGTGTGCTGGTGCCAACTTTTCTGCCTGATCCTGCATATTGTCTGTGACTCACTTCGTTTGATTTTGATTAAAGGGAACAACCACCCTTGATCACATTGCCAGTCTGAACCACTCGATTCTTAAAATACTTTTATTGACAAAGAAAGCAGTCTAAATGCCATGTAGAATGATTAACCTCTTGCCTAGTGGATCTATTATGAAATAGATTTGGCTTTAGAACTTCAGAACATTTTAATATATAAAATGGTCATGCTTCTGCAGCAAAGCTCCATTTAGTCTAAAGCCAGTGATAAGTCACATCTGATTTACACAGCGGCACTCTAATCCCAGGTGCTGGAGTGTGGAAGAATCACAGCTTTGGTCCTTTCAACCAAATACATTTTGGTGCAAAATAATGCATCCAAAATAAAGCACCAACATTTGTACCAAACATTAAAGCAGATACTTAGCCAGGTATGAATGCCGTTTGAAACCACAAAAGATATCACAAAAGACTATCCAATAAAACTCCAACCGCACTATGATCATTTGGGCATTTAACACAGACAACACCTCCAACTGTAAAATCGAATTGCAATGTAACATTCTGCCAGTTAAACGAGCCAGTAGGTGGATGTGTAGGATATTAGCAAAAACATTTAATTCTACTAGATTATCAGAAAAGTAAAAAAAAAAAAAAAGTCAATACAAGAGTAATGCAGAAATATCACTTTAAACCCTTAAAATGAAATATTAAAACACATTTTTCACTTTTTTTTTTTCAGCATTCATGGACACAGTATGATCAATAATTCAATAGTGTTCACATATATGGCTGTAAAATCTCTATGTAGTTATGTGAAACAGTTGTAAGTAGTAGAGTATTGGTGCCATTCTGGTAAGAATCACAACCCCCCAAGGTTCTTAGTTTCCTATGAAACTTTGAGATGGACATAAGGAATTTCCCTCATTCTCCTGCACCTCGTTTTGGCCATTATTTTTTGCTTGACAATCAATTTTCCTCAGTCAAGGCAAAGAATCATCTGTTTCAAACCAGTGTAGCTAATCCTTGCAGTTCTTCTATAGCTTGATGCCATTATTATTAAAAAAAACTGCACCAAGTCAGTTCTCCTTTTCTTCTCATTTCTACATCTGTAGCGTAATCGGCCTTGCATTTTAACTTCCTGCCTTACGTGTGCAACTCAGCGATAAGAGCAGCGCAGCTCGAGAACGATCAATGAGCTGTTCAAGCAGTTAAAGTATCGCAAGAACAAGCTCTATGCAGCATGGACCGAAAAGTGCATGCATGAGCTAATAATGTGTGAAGCAACTGAAAACAGGAAGAGAGAAGAGTGAGTGTACCACAAAACACAAAGGGGAATTCCACTTTATTTACACACATTCATTCAATGTGTAACTGACTATAACAGCAGTGAGCTTCAAATGCAGAATATATTTTATACAAACAACTTCAACAAAAGTTTAATGAAAACTTCCTTTTTTCATAAAACAAAAGGGGGAGGAAGTACTTGAAAAAATATCAAAAGTACTTAAGTAAAAGTGGTCACAGAAAATTGCTAATGTTGTAAATTCCATACACATTACTGTAGCCACAACATTACTGAAGTCTGAATTTGAACAGATTTTTGGAATGTATTTAACTAGCTGTAGGCTACGAGCTGTAGGTCTTTTGTGGTTTACTGGATTAATTGGTCGATAGTGTGTAAAAAGCCAGATTTAACTCATGATTCGGCTGAAGTCTTTATATACATAGATAGTTTCCTAATACCTTTATCTATAAATAATAGCTAGAAATAGCTGTTTTTGCATGAACTCCTATGCAGGTGTTTGGGTCAGATACAAAGAGATACGTAATACTTTTAAGAGCTTTTGCCACGCCCCCTTAGTAGACTAATCGATCAGCAGTCACTAAAATGACTTTAGTCAACCAATAATCAACTACAACCCTAAATTTAACTAATAGTAAAATTTATTTAACATTTTATCCTCATTTAACCCCTTACAACATTCTAGCACCCTCTTTTCCGCAATGTATACATGTATCCAAAATGAGATAACAATCTTCTACGTAAAGGTCATCAACATCTCCTAATTTTAACATAGAACATTTTACAATCTAAAAGAAAAGAGCTTGTGTCTAATTGTCAAATCTAAATTGTTTATGATCGTGCGTCCTTATTTTCTCTCCCTCCTCCCAAGTGAATGCAACTTTCCACCTCAAGCTTCCTATCATCTCAGCGCTGTGCTATTTCCCAGGCCTCTGTAAATGACACGGGCTGGCTGATCTGAACTCTCACTCCACCGAAGAAATGTCCCAGAGCCTCCCTGTGCCAAGCTCTGACGGCTCATCTATCACGAAGGCCGCAAATACACATTACACTCCCATTACAGATCATCACAGCAACAACTGCAACACAAGACAGTTCAGCAGAAAGCTCCACAGTGGGGTGCTTACATTCAATGTAAGCCACTTCACTCTTAAGTTTATTTTGGAGGCAGAATGAGACAGCAAACCAGTATTGTTGGGTTAGATACCTTTGTATCCGCAGGTCGTTGCTCATAAAAAAGCAATTGTAAAGGTTTTCAGAAGTTGATGCTGGCCAAAACCAAGGGCTCTATAATAAATGTAGTAAAACTGTGTTGTCTTTCTGATTGTTTGGTTTCTTTCTCATAACTTCTTTCCACTTAAGCGCAGTAAGGGAAAGCAGGTGCAATTGAATCTTGGATTGAAATACACTGAGAGGAAATAGCAACGTGCCTTGTCCCCATGTGACACCCTGGTCCGTTATGTGTATGTGTGCGCGCGTGAGTGCGTGTGTGTGTGTGTGCGGCAATAGACATTATTTAAAAGTATTTAAAAGTATTTAAAAGTAAACATTAAATGATTCTCAAGAGACATCTTTTAACTTCCAGCTAACCAAATGCAAACAGCAGGTTTTTTGTATTGTCATTTTAATTCTAATCGAGAAATAAACTTTTTAAATTAGTAATTCTAAAAAACATATCAAAGACAACTCAAGAAATGTTAAAGTAGGGTAAAGTTACAAACATTTTTAAAAGATATGTAAATTTCTACACTGCATGCTTACCTGTGTGGCTGTCTAGTGCTGACGAGTCACTGGGACAGACAAAGCCACTTCAACACAAGTTAGCAGCCGCAATGCATTATGGGACAGCTAACATCTTTATTTCTCTCTTCCGCTACTTCACTCACTCCCTCATAATAGCACCTTCTGCTTGGCAACGGCCATACCACAAACGCGGTCAGGTTTACAGCGAACCATCACTGCGCAACATCAAGTCACCATGACAACCACTTCTAATCTCATTTGCATCTCCTGCTTACATTATCTATCCATGCCTAATATGGTACATTCATGTTATTGCAGCTTGCACTTTATAACTTCCCGTTTTATTAACACAAAACACTGCTGTCTATAATGTTTATAATACTGGTAACAGACACCAGTTAATATTTGAAAAAGGCAAAAAGGAGGAAGTAAAGGTGACGACAGAGCAGTTTGCAGCCACGAAGATTAGCATTAAGTCAACTTAGTCGTTCAGGAAATGTGCTTAAAGGATGCTGTTAGGATTCACTAAACTGAAAAGGGGAACTGTGTTATCATAACCTTTGCATAGCCCAGTCGCAGAATTTCACTTACCTCCTCAGATCCCCGTGTGCATCTGGCCTCCTCCTCTTTCTCCCCAAAGGACAGTGTCGATCAAACCATCACAGGAATGTTGAAGCAGGCCCCTGGAGCCCACACAAGCAGCCGCACTCAGCAGCACTCAGCACCTGTCTCCCATTGCCAGTGTGGAGACAGAGATGATCTAGATCAAGATGGACAGCACTGCAAAAGCACAAGAGTACACAGGAGACCACAATACCATAGGTTGATTATGCAGTAATACACACGCCAATGGCCATACTGGTAAGATCATGCATTGTAACTGAGGGGGGTGGTATTGACACAATCTAATATCTCTACAGTTTTTTTGGATTCTCTCGATAAGGTAATAAAAATATTTTTAAAACATATACGTAAATATAACAAGCACTACAAAAAACATGAATAGACTGTAAAATGTTGACAAAAGTGTAGAAATATCACCTTATAACATCACAATGTTAAAGATGCACTATGTAACTTTCCTCGCAGAAGGTCTACCACCTGTTTGTCTGTCTCCATGGTGATGTTATTGTTTTGCACAGAATGAGATTGAATTTATTTATCTTTTTTATGAAGACAAGCAGGCGTTTACAAGTTGCAGATCAAATGTGGCCCAGGTTATGGTTTTCAAGACAATAAAACACCTGAAAGTGAACAAATGCAAGACAGAAGTGTAATAGCAAGGACAGCTTTATCAAGAAAAGCAGGTGGCAGACCCTCCACCAGAAAAGTTACACATATATATGTATGTGTGTATGTATGTGTATATATACCACTATTATTATATATTTATAATTTTATTCATTTAATAAATTTTATCTTTTTAATATCTTTTTAACATCACAAGCTGCATCCTCTCTGCTTCTCAGACCTTAGCTTACCCAATGTCTATAGTGGTTCAGAGGATGGATACACAGCTCCGGTGTTGCCAGGACTCTGGGGACAGTGAGTCAATGAAAAGCAGGCCTAATTTAGCTGCTCCTCCGCCATGAGCTGCCTGAAATCAGAGTGAGACTGCCTTCCCTTTTTAGGGCTCCCTGGACATTGCGGTCTGGAAGTGCCACTACTGCATTCCTGGATACGCCAAGAGAGAGGACAGGATTCACTGAACATAAACAACTTATCACTTTTGAGTGAATACCAAAATACAGTATAAAGAGAAGCAGGAAAAAAATTACTGTTCCATTTTATAAAATCTAGTGGCTTAAGTACCACATATCAATCCAGTCCAGTACAAGGCCTGTTACCAACTTTGCTCAATAATTTAAATAAATAAATAAGAAAGCTTACTTAAATAATATTGTCTGTAGTAGTAATGCAGTCAGTACTACTGTGTAGGAGCATATTTTACAGTGTTGAAAATATTGCATTTGAATTATGATACTATATTATAGGGTCCACCGCATTTGTAAAAACACTAATACTGCATACAGAGAGTACTTAGCAAAATAAGTTTAAATTGTCAATTTTCTCTATAAAAACTGATTTATGAGATTTATAGTCTCTTGCTTGATGTCACAACAGCTTGAAACCAAATACCAGTAATTAGGTGTGAAGATGAGCCTAATCATAGAAGCTATACTTAAACTATCTAGTCAGCCGGGTCCTGACTCTGTGTCATGTAATCTTTAATAGGCTCCCATGCTGCAGTGAAATGCGATTCTGCAAACCTAGGAGTATTTTTTGTCCAGCATGATCAGGCTGATGTTCATGTGACACAGACAAACACAAAGTAAACAACAAACAGTACGTCACTAATTCAAAGTATTTTACAGGAAAGGTGGTCCCGCTCTTGCAGAAAGACCTCATATATTCTACCAATGAGAAGCAAGATGTTGCTATTAAATTGTATTATTATACATTTTATTATCTATGACGAAATGCTCTTATTTTCAGCACTCATCTCCTGCAGGCATCACACAAAACAGATGCCATTTACTGCTTTTATCTAAAATAACCACAGAAAAAGCCAATTCAAACACAATCACATCAGTTCATTTAGGGTCACTGTCCAACCACAATGCACATAAAAAATGTGAGGAATTTTGTAGAATAATCCAGTCCGTACCCAACAACAACTTAAATCGTGAGGAATCAAGGATAAAAGATATTTTGCAATCAAATAAACTATTTCAAGATTCAAATATATTTATAGAACAGTGAAATCAGTGGGCAGCACAAGTACAGCAAAGTAGTACAATATGTGCCATCATATACAATCATACATATTCTTTATAATTGTAGTCCTTGGAGTAACCTAGCAACCAGCAAACTCAAATGGCATCTATTGTGACTCTAAAACTAGCTAAGTGTCCACAAGACATAATTATATCTCTTCTCAACCAATCACGTAAGGATCTGAGCCATAAATAACAGCCTGCTCCCCTACAGAGTACCAGTTTGTGCGGAAAAGTCAACAAATAGTTTCTCCAGAAGCTAGAGCTAACTGCTGCCATGGTCTTACTTGGAAAGGGAGATCTACAGGGAAAGAGGCACTGGCCTATAGGATGACAAAACAGAAGAGAGGAAAAGAAAAACAAATGTAGCCTATCATTAGTGAGTCATTATGGAGGTTGGTGGATGGGAATGTGGCTATAAGCTATATCATTAAACACTGTGCCAAATGGCTGGAAAACTGGTCTCCATTTAAACACTGGCAGACTGGGGAGTAAAGGCACAAACTACTGGAAACATTGTTAAATTTATAAAAGTTAATATACAAATATAAATACATTAATAGTAATTTTCATACCTTACAATGGTGGAAAAATAGCTTACCATCTTGAAAAATCATCTACAATGTATTATTTTATTTTTTAAAATGACAAAATGTAGAAAATAAACATACTGATTTATTATTATAAGATATTTTTAAAAATAATGTGTGACGAGTGCTTGTTAAACCATACAGCTGCTTTCTGCAAAACCGTTTAGTCACCAAGGTCTTATATATAGATTTTATTACCAATATTGAATTCGGATCCAAGATATTTTCGGAGAGATTTATGATGTCATTGCTGAACAACTACACTCTCTATAATATCATGTTATACAACACAGCTGGATATTAGTCAGTTTGTCTAGTCCTAGGATGAACAGTGAGTTAAGGAGTCCAAAATCAGTGCAAGAGTGAAATATAATTAACAATCTTTAAAAGGAGAAGTAAATAATAATAAACATGCATGTAATAAACACGTATGCAATTTCCCTGTAGCATCGAACAAGTATCTCTAATTTACTGTCTGTCATATGGCTTCACTGTTTCTTGTATTGCTATTAAGTATATAACATATGCCTTTTTATGTTGTGCCATAACAGTGCATTACTTGAAATAAAAGATTGTATTAATTGCATCGTTAACTGAACCAAGTAAACACAGGATACAAAATTGAGAAGAGAAATGACACATGAAGGTCAAAAGTGTTCCTATAGAGGAGTCTAGACTGTGTGTGATGTTACCAGAGGAACAGCATGGCCCTCCTTACAGCTCCCAGAACGTTATCTTCTAGCCTCCCTATTGGGATTCTGGTAGCCTACATTCTCCTCCTCAAGGTCGACAGCAGTACCAAATTAAATTACTTGTCCTGTTTTGTGGCGTTGGCGTCAGGTCAACAACAACTTGGCTAAAATGATGAGTGCAGCATTCTGAAGGGAGGTGCTTTTGTCCTGACCCTCTGTAGTGTCATGTTTGCAAGGCGAGTAGCCACCACAAAAAAGCTGAAATCAGACACACTGTATTAAATTCTGCATATGTAATCAACTGCAAAAAAACAAATATATTTATAAAAATTCAATTACCTCTGCAGCACTTCATAGGAGTACTCTCTGGGCTAACCCCTGTGCTGTGAGACTAAGAGAATAAGTAAAATACACCTCCTGCTGGTCATATAGGGTAAAACTGAAAAGAGATGTGAAATACACTTGAGCACAGCTACAGGTTTATATGCCAAAAGAGGTTTAGGTTTACATTTGTTAGTATATTGTAATTGTAAAGGATTTATGTATTGGACAATAATAACACAATACGTCATTACACACAATTAAAATAATTAGACAACCATTTAAAAAATAGCCTGAAACATGCACTTTTTGGACACAATACAGTGCCCTGTATCTTCATTTAGCTCTGAAAGGCTGTAATGACTGTTGCAAACTTGCTAATATAAATACTGTTATAGAAATAATAATGTTTCTTTAGTAACTGTTCATATACAGAAGAGGGCAGCAGAAGCAACTTTAGAGCAACAAACCTGTTGATCATGTACTCATTGTTCATGAGAAAGTCAAAAGTGGAACATACCTTAAAGATATTAGTCGAAAATCATTTGCACGGAGTGTAGAACTGAACTCTACAGGGGGCCGGCATTACCATGAGGGCTCCACTCCCAAATGCCTTTTGTTCCTTTAGGTTGACAGACGAAATGAATATTTAAAAGGAAGAAGAATATCTGAGGCCATCAGATCGCAATGATGGAAAAATACCCTGAACCTCTGGACAGAAATACCACTTTTAGTCACATTTTCAAATTAAAAAGTCTTTCTAATTTAAGTTCTAATTTATAGAGGAAAGTTTGAATTTTAATCTTCATATACAACTATATACTTATATACTTAATATACTATATACTTATATATTTAATATACTTTTGCACAGAGAGCTTTGTATAGTTGATGTCATAAGTCATAAGTCTTAATTAGAAGATATGGGCCGGTAAAGTAAATTATGTGTGTAATCGGTAAGATGGATAGTGAACAAAGAGATATCCAGGAGATTGACACAATGAAGTCTGAAATCAGAAAACTACAGTTGGAAAATCTGGGCCTGAGGAAAAGAGCTGGGAAACATCTCAGAAAGAATGTATCGGCCTCCTTTGTGGCAACAAAATGTAAAGGTAAATTTAAGGCTATACCTTCTAAGTTTGAAATGATATGGCGAAGCCTTTGTAGTAATGTATTACTGCATTAATAGAGTGCCTTTTTGCTTCTTCCTTACATTGCAGGGAATGTGGCGATGACAATAAGATGATACCTGATCTTCCGATCATTGGCCTGCACCTGGACAAGGGAATACAGAAAGTGAATTTACTGGAGCACAGTTTAATAAACTAATAATAATACATTCTACTGGTATATCTCATTATAAACTTTATCTGAAAGTTTAAACTATATTGTAAAATAAACACGTGGGGTCACGCGCCATTTGTGCAACTCTAGCACAGAAAACATCAACGTTCGCTAAACATATAATTACGCCAATTAAAGGTTTAACCTGTTTTGCTGTTTTTTACTGTTTCGGTGCCTTGATTTTTTATCACATCTTGTAAAAAAAATATGACTATGACTCAGAGGTTTGGCATATGACTCCCTTCTTACCGTTGTGTTTGTAGCATACAGTCTGTGGTCTGTACCTGTGGCATGCACCTGTCCGTGGGCTTGTGGCTGTCGCGAGATCAGAGCCTAGCGCAGAGGAACCATGAACCATGAACCATGCCCATCCGCCATCACCGCCGCTCACTAGCTAGCATAAGCAGACTAGCCACAAACCAGAAAGCTCAAATCGAGTGACAACAACAACACTGCGGACCGACCTAATTGCCACAGGGCAGGTTGTCGAGTGTCTTGCCCTAGTCCTGGCGTGAATAACACACTAGAAAACGCTTTTAATGTAGTCTTCAAGCTAATTTGGAAGCTTTACTTATAAACTAATCATGTCCAACCTAAAAGGCGGCACCAAAAAGGACACCAAGATGAGGATACGAGCGTTTCCCGTGAGTATTTATTGTATCTGTACAGAGTTAAAGATCATATTTTTGAAATTGTTAGTGGAATTTTATATTGAATGCTAGCAAGTGCCCCAGCTAGCCTCTCCAACGAGAAAAAAACAAGAGTTAAGTTGCTTTCCAAGCTATTTTTTTAAACATATGCGGATTCTGCCACACTTCAGCTTCACCAAATGAAAATGGCACTGTTCTTTGTCATCTAGTTTACAGATGTTTAGTTATTTTTTTCAAACACGGTCGTGGATAGGATAGTGGATGAAGCTTGGTTAACATTAGCAGGCCCGAAAGGCTAGCTTACTTGACAAGATAAGTTGCTCCCACCACTGCTCTATGGCAACGCAAATGTTTCTTTGTTTTTTGCATTAGCTGATATGTGTATCACCGCAAATAAGTCAATGTACTCTACATTATACTGTGATGTATAGACCCACAGAGACTGTTGTTTGTCATTGTAGTTGTTGGTGTAGCAGCAGCAGCTGTCAACTTGCTATAAATGTACGTGTGTACGTGTGTGTGTGTGCGTGTGTGTGCGTGTGTGCGTGTGTGCGTGTGTGTGCGCGCGTGTGTGCGTGTGTGTGTGTGTGTGTATAGATGGAGAGATAGATATAGCTCTGAATAGTATAAAACGGTGAAAAAGTGTATGCAATAAGAGTATAATTGACCACTCTGAATGATTGTACTAATCTTCCAGTCTTGTTACATAATGTAAACTGTTGTTACAAAAGACTTATTTCATTACGTTTCAAATCCCACTCTCAGCACTCTTGATATGTTGTGATGATGGATGGGCAAGCAAGAATTTGTTGCCTAGTCACTAAAAACAATCAGTGTTTTTTTTTTTAAACCTCCATCTAGCAATGCGACATCACCTAAATACTGAATGACACCAGTTAAGTTTTTTCAGTTAGCAGGGTATTATTGCATGATTGTGTGTATTTGCCAATCCAGCCAGCTAATACTTTAAAACTTTCTATTTCATAGATGACCATGGATGAGAAGTATGTGAACAATATATGGGATCTTCTCAAAAATGCCATCCAAGAGATCCAGCGTAAGAACAACAGTGGGCTGAGTTTTGAGGAGCTGTACAGGAATGCCTATACCATGGTTCTCCACAAACATGGGGAAAAGCTCTACACTGGTCTACGGGAGGTTGTAACAGAGCATCTCATCACCAAAGTAAGTAGACTTTAATAATATTAGTATTGGTTATAATAAGGATATTTTAATTTGGAATTAACCATGTATTTATCTGTGTAATTTTTAGGTTAGGGAGGATGTTCTTAATTCTTTAAATAATAATTTTCTGCAAACATTGAACCAAGCTTGGAATGACCATCAGACTGCAATGGTTATGATCAGAGACATTTTGATGTACATGGTAGGTAACGAGCAGTAAATATTTTACGACAAACAAATTATATATTGTTTTGCTGGCAGAAAAGTTTAAAGTCTCTTAAAATGGATTGGTGTTACTGTTCAAATATTTGTGTAAAATCTTTTTAGCATTAGTAGTTGTAGTCATTGCTCAAAAGCATCTTACTTGAACTGTGTCATGTATAACAAAGAACCTTTGTGCTTGTATTTCTTTCTTGTTTGACCAAGAATCACCAAAATAACCTAGATATTTGGACCTGGATATTGTGTCAAACATTTTATATCGATGCCTTCAGGAATATTACTACTAACTTTTATTGTCTTTCTTGTTTTTCTTTTTAAATTCAGGACCGTGTTTATGTTCAACAAAATAATGTGGAGAATGTGTACAATCTGGGCCTGATCATATTCAGAGATCAGGTTGTGCGCTATGGCTGCATTCGAGACCATCTTCAACAGACTTTATTGGACATGATTGCACGTGAGAGAAAGGGAGAAGTTGTTGACAGGTAGTCCATTCTAACCTTGTTCTAGTATTGTTCTGACTTAATACATAATAATATACATGCTGTACATAAAGGTGAGTTAAATAAATATTTGTGTTACATTGTAGGGGTGCCATTAGGAATGCTTGTCAGATGTTGATGATCCTTGGCTTGGATGGAAGAACGGTATATGAGGAGGACTTTGAAGGCCCATTCTTAGATATGTCTGCAGAGTTCTTTCAGGTGAAACCCCAGAACTCACTCCATTTTCCCTCTGCTTTTCTAAAATATGAAAACTAAAATATTAAAATGTGTACAACTAGATGGAGAGCCAAAAGTTCTTGGCTGAAAACAGTGCCAGTGTGTACATAAAGAAAGTTGAGGCCAGAATAAATGAGGAGATTGAGCGGGTTATGCATTGCTTGGACAAGTCCACAGAGGAGCCCATTGTCAAAGTGGTTGAACGAGAGCTCATTTCAAAACACATGAAAACCATTGTGGAAATGGAAAACTCTGGGCTTGTACATATGCTCAAAAATGGGAAGACGGAAGGTAAATAAAGCATTTGGAATGAAAATAATTACAAATTTTAACTTATCAAACGAATGTGATTATGCAATTATTTTTCACTTAATTTGGCAATGTTTTGTTTTGTTTTCTTTTGTTTTAGACTTGGCGTGCATGTACAAGTTATTCAGCCGTGTGCCAAATGGTCTGAAAACAATGTGTGAGTGTATGAGTGCATACTTAAGAGAACAAGGCAAAGCACTTGTGTCAGAAGAAGGAGAAAGCAAGAACCCTGTGGACTATATCCAGGTAGACAACAATACTTCTTTGAGCAGAATTGCACATTATTTTTTGCAGCAACTTAGCTGTAAATGTTTAAAAATATGTTTTATGTCTAACAGGGTTTGTTAGATCTGAAGACAAGGTTTGACCGCTTTCTTCTCGAGTCCTTCAACAACGATAGACTCTTCAAACAAACAATTGCTGGAGATTTTGAGTATTTCCTCAACCTCAACTCTCGCTCACCAGAGTATTTATCACTTTTTATTGATGACAAGCTCAAGAAGGGAGTCAAAGGGGTATGTTACCATCTAATAAATTACAAATGTGATTGTTTTGTATAAAAATTTGCAACTAATGAAATGTGGTTCATTCTCGGGTAGCTGACAGAACAGGAGGTGGAGTCAATTCTTGACAAAGCCATGGTGTTGTTTAGGTTCATGCAAGAAAAAGATGTGTTTGAAAGGTACTACAAGCAGCATCTTGGCCGGAGGCTTTTGAGCAACAAGAGTGTGTCAGATGACTCTGAAAAAAATATGATTTCTAAGCTCAAGGTAAAAGCTTTAGACTACATATGTACTCTAAATTACATTTTTCCCCACACTTGAACAAATTTTGCTTGCTGTCTTACAGACAGAATGTGGCTGTCAGTTCACCTCAAAACTGGAAGGAATGTTCCGAGACATGAGCATCTCAAACACTACAATGGATGAATTCAGGCAGCACATTCAGACTACATCAGTAAGATGAAGGACCAGACTAAAACTAATCAATCAACATTTATGTAAATGATATGTATTAACATTTTTCAGGCATCTCTGAGTGGAGTGGACCTTATAGTAAGAGTTCTCACAACTGGCTATTGGCCCACTCAGTCAGCAACTCCTAAATGCAACATCCCCCCTGCTCCCAGACATGCCTTTGAAGTCTTCAGAAGGTGAGGCTTTGATTTTATCTAATCTATAAGTGAAATAGAGGCTTGATGCATTCTGTTTTATAGGTTTTACCTCGCTAAGCACAGTGGTCGACAGCTCACATTGCAGCACCACATGGGTGGCGCAGACCTAAATGCAACATTTTATGGTGTAGTTAAAAAGGTAGGCACAGCTCTACTTTATTTTCAGAAAAATTAGAAATGGATTTGTTTTTATATTTTATATTGATTTAGACAAGCCTTAATTGTGCTTTTCAAACCCTGCACAGGAGGATGGTTCTGAGCTGGGTGTTGGTGGTGCTCAGGTCACAGGCTCCAACACCCGCAAGCACATACTGCAAGTCTCCACCTTCCAGATGACGATCCTTATGCTTTTTAATAACAGAGAAAAGTGCACATTTGAGGTGAGTGCAGAGTCTTCAAGCTAATACAAACTTCTACATAAAATGTACTTACACTATCTTACTTTTTGATTGTTAACAGGAAATCCAACAGGAGACTGATATCCCAGAGCGAGAGTTGGTGCGAGCGTTACAATCTTTAGCCTGTGGAAAGCCCACGCAAAGAATCCTCACCAAGGAGCCCAAGTCCAAGGAGATTGAAAATGGCCATGTGTTTACAGTTAATGATCAGTTTACTTCTAAGCTGCACAGAGTCAAAATTCAAACAGGTCTGTATTCAAATATAATTCAACATTTCAAGACAGTGCAATATAATTAGATATGTTTTAAAGTGAGTGGAAATTGCACATACATTTTTATGTTTTACTTTTTTTTTTTTTGCTTAAGTTGCTGCTAAACAAGGGGAATCTGATCCTGAACGGAAAGAAACTCGACAAAAAGTGGATGATGACAGAAAACATGAAATTGAAGCTGCCATAGTCCGAATTATGAAGTCACGGAAGAAGATGCAGCATAATGTCTTGGTTGCAGAGGTAGAAATTTATTTTATAGTTATTTTAATTTTAGTTTAGTTGATTTCTTGTTTAACAGCTTTGTGTGTGGTTGTGTTAACAGGTGACTCAGCAGCTCCGGGCCCGTTTCCTCCCCAGTCCCGTGGTTATAAAAAAGCGTATTGAAGGACTAATAGAAAGAGAATACTTGGCAAGAACACCAGAGGATCGTAAAGTATACACCTACGTTGCATAGAGACACTTCTACTGATAAAAGGAGATATGAGACTGGAAATGGAATTTGTTTTATTTGGACTGCTGTTTTCCATCAACTGGAAGATTACTTTTGAAGACAAATGCTGACGACAACTTTTAAACACCGCAAAGACACTTGAATGGGGAATAAACTGCACACAAAAATCTCCCAATGATTTTTAATTAGGTCTTCCCTGTGAATTTCTTCACTTTTCACTGTTTTACCCTGATAGAGAAGTTACTGACAAATCCTTGGGGAAAAATGTGAATGCACCACATATTATTTTGTTTCAGTAATAATAAATACAATTATTAAAACAGCAAATGTTAATTGTCACAAAACACACAAATGTGAATTGTAACTTAATGCTTTTTGCATAATGGTCTTTCCTCTATACTTGGTATTGATGATACTTTTGGTAAAATCTGGACAACACAGTGGCACAGCAGTCCAGCTGTCTTAGGTTAGACTCCTGGGCAGCAAGATGAGATGAATGATCTGAAGAGAAATTTCAGTTCAAACAAGATTGCAAGATGAAAAGTGGTGAACTTAGCGTTCAATCAAAAGTATTCTGTATTAGTCTGATATGTTTTACCAGTAGTGACCCAGCAGCTAATCAAGTTTTTTGCTAATGCTTCTCTATGGACATTGGACACATCGGCCAGTAACTCAGTTTTTTGAATGGAACAGAATGTCAAAAACTTAAGTCAGTTCAGATCAATGCACAAAATGGTAATGTCAGAAGCTTTTCTTAAGTATATATTTAATCAGGTCTAAAACATACAGCATTCTATATCATTATTATTATTATTATTATTATTATTATGACGCCTATTAAGTTAATGGCAGGTATTTGAAATTAAATATCAAAATTACACCAAGGCTTATCAGTTCAAACCAGTAAAGGACTGGTAAAATCAGGAGAGCTGTTGGGGAGTACATCTGGCCTTTTTGATTGTATGGCATTGGCCAGAGCTTCCATTTGTGACATGAAACTCTGAATATCCTCTGAAGAGCTGTGAGTCCAAGCCAGAGGCAAGTGTACAGGAACGGGTTTACGATCTACAAAACAGTGTAAAGAATATATGGATCTGTTTGTAAAAACAGAGAAGAAAGTAATCCACAGAATGGGTCTGGTCACCTTGAAGGAACTGCCCACTACGAGTTCTTGAAGCAGCTCGGCACAAAGCCAGCCAAACTACAGTATCCGCCCCCTGCTCCACAGTGCGCAGCCTCCCCGCCATCATCTTGTGAAACTCCGGCATTGAAGTAGACACAGCTACACACCACAAATGGTTACACTTTTCACATTTTCAAACCACACTCTTTGTCTGATAGTACCTGGAGAATCCACCCAGCCTGGATGCATCACAGAGAAGTGTATGGCAGGGTTAGCTTTGGCCCACTGCCTTGTTAGCACCACCTGCTGTCTCTTAAAGCGAAACAACACTTGGCTCATGATGAGTGCATAGTAAACAGCAGCATTAGAATATACTTTTACCTTATTTTGCGCATAGACCATAATTCCATCAAAGTGACGGTTCTCTGACTGCAAGTCATCAGTTTTGAGTTTCTGAACAAGCATACCGCCTGAGGACACTGTGATCTAACAATTGTGGAGAACCGGAGTCACAAATGAATAGACAATTGTGCCATTGTGTTGCAGTGCACAGGATTGTTTCTGTGTCTGACCATACCACCCTTGGATCCCTGCTCTTCTGCAGAAGGGGTATGAGGGTCCGAGTGAGCACATATACCGCTGGAGACACAGACAAAGATCACAGTCATGACATTAGTCTGACCCTGGACATCTGAGTTAAGTCTTTGCTCTCACCCATCGTGTTTGTGGCGAAACTCTTCTCCAGTCCATCAGCATTTAGCTCTCTCTTGTACAACATGCATCCTGCATTGTTTATCTGCCAAAGAACATAACACAAATATTTAGTTTGTTATAGTAACATAACAGCTCAGTGTATGATAATGGCATACTCACTAAGACATTTAGGGTGGCATATTGCTTTCTAAACGCTTCTGCAAACTCCCACAGTTTTCGTGTCTCTGACAAATCTACAATGTGGACATGCACTTCCTGAAAATACATTTTAATACATTTTAGGAGATTTTAAAATATTGAATATATAAAATATAAAATATTTAATATATATAAATATTAAAAAATTTGCTTTTTTAAATTTATTTATTTTTTTTACATATTTTAAATGGTCCTATTAGACACTGGGCTACAGATCCAGTTCACACTCACTGAGTTTCCAGACTCCCTGATGATATCAGCTCTGGCCTCCTCAGCTTTGTCTGGGTTCCTGCATACCATGTGTACAGTCCCACCTGACCAACAACGAAGTTCAAACAAAACATTTTGTTTTCATACTCCTGTAAATTCTAAATCTTTTAACTGCGCACCTTTCTTTGCTATTGCCATGGCAGTCACTCTTCCAATACCACTGTTGGCTCCTGTGATCATAAAGGATCTTCCCACAACTGCCACATCCATATCATGGGGATCAAAATGTCTTGATGCAGCCTCATAAGCCTCTCTTTAAAACAAAAGAGTGTTGATAACCATGTACAAAATGACAACATAGAAATACATTTACAGTACACTATACACCTTATTATTGTTTATTGCATTTTTGTTTCAGCAATAAAATCAGATTATTAAATTGTCAATACCAAACTTTAACCTCAGCTGTCTCCTTTGACAGCTGATGTTGTGACAGGCCACAATAGTTACAACGTATGTTATATTAGTATATTGCATTTCTACACAATGGTACAATCTCCCAAAATATTCAGATATTAGACGTATTGGAATTTAGTTCAGTAGCCTGGTTAAAAGGTAAATCAATGATGTACTAACCTTGTGTAATGTTGAATGCCATTGAGAAACCACACAGTATTGCGGAAAAGAGACATTAAAAACCTTGTTAGAGACACTTGCAGCAGACGTCTTCTGGACAGCCTCTAAACCATAGACTGTATGTAGAAGAAGGAAACAGGGAAGGGCGCCTCAGTGCTGCTCTCTACTTGCGGCAAACTGGAACAACACCCACACTTACTACTAGGATCTTGTTCATTATTATATTTTCTTACTGGAGTCGTGTATATACCCTGCGTATGTTAATATGGGCAAAGTATGTGCAGTTACGGTAAATTAAAGCACAAACTTGTAGGCGTAGGTTCAGTTGATGCTGCGTTTCCTGTCCACATTGTGCATCCGCGGGAGGGCGGAGTTTATGAACTTTCACACCGAGCGCTGGCGACGGTGGACAGATATGTTTTCTGTTGGTTCATTCGACCCTTTGTGAGGGTTTTAACTTCTTATTCTTATTATTTTGTACCAAGTTTTTTTTTTTTTTTTATTTCTCTGCGCCAAGATGGTAAGTGTTTTAAATATGCGTAATTTCGCTTCCTATGCGCAATGCTGCCTCGGTCATTTACCTGTTGCACCTGTTGACAGGTAGTTAAAATGGACCTCACCAAATAGCTTCAAGTATACCTAAGATCTAATTCTATTAATTACAGTGGCAGGCTATCAAGTTTACATTGGCGTTTACATTAGTCGCCTCAGCAGATAGTGAAGCCCGATCCCGCTGGTGAGCAGCAAGGTGATATTTCTTTAACGGCAGTCAAACAGGTTTCGTCACTTTCCGGGTTAGAGTGTTCATGGCACTGGTGTTTTTTTGTTTGTTTTTTCTTTCAGGCCGTCTGACCTGGAATACCAGAAATAATTTGCACTGCAGGGCCTGTACATTGTTTTAGAGTAGGGCCTGTAGCCTATGGCTCTGTTTGTAGGCTAGTTTTCTGTTGGAAACTTGAATGAACTTGGGATGTCTTGACATAACACAATAGCATTCTTCATAAATGTTGTTCATTGGCAAGTACTATAAAAACTGTAAAATTAAATGCTTTCAAGATCTACTTACCCCAGCTTTAATTTATTTTAAAATACACACACTGTCTTTACTGATTCTAAAAATAGCACATGTTTAAAAAATCATCGGAGGTGCCTGTCACCTCTTAAACTAAACCACTGTTTGAAACCCTGTCTCCCCGTCTGGTCATACTAATATACAAAAACTTTTTGGTACATCTGTAAATGTAACTCTGCCAGTATTTGGTGACAGTGCTGGCCCACTTTCCCTTTGACTTTCTCACTTATTGCCAGTTTAACCTTTCTTGGTTGTTGAAGCTCATAAGGTTGTTTTAGTTACTCTTTAATATACCACGACCCCAAGTTTCACCTTAGCCCGGGGTTGTATGCATGCATACTCAGCTAATAATGGACTTGATATAGGCTACTTATTATTACCTGTACATTGCAAATTGCCCCCACTGACCTGCTCTTTGTCTGTTATAATAGATGCGCTTCCTGCTCCTCTTCAGTCGCCAAGGGAAGCTTCGTCTACAGAAATGGTACACGCCTCTGACTGAGCGAGAGAAGAAAAAGATAATCAGAGATATGACTACCATGGTGTTGGCACGGCAACCACGATCATGTAACTTCTTACACTGGAAAGACTTGAAAATTATTTATAAGAGGCAGGTTATCCCCAATTTGAACTATGTATTTATGCTGTCATTGTACCCGATTGATGCTTAGATATGAAATGTCTTTTTCTGAAGGTATGCCAGCTTGTATTTCTGCTTGGGTGTGGAAAGCGAAGAGAATGAGCTATTGGCTCTGGAAGTCATCCATCGCTATGTGGAGCTGCTTGACAAATACTTTGGCAATGTATTACACTTTTTTACATTTGTGTTGTAATATAAGAAAATTAGTAATTGATTATTAATAGTTAACTACGTTTTTGTGACAAAAGGAAAAGCAACAAAGCCTAAAATGTCTAATATTGCCTTCTCTCAGGTGTGTGAGCTGGACATAATCTTTAACTTTGAGAAAGCCTATTTTATCCTCGATGAATTTCTAATGGGCGGAGAAGTACAGGAAACTTCCAAACAGACCATAAACCGGTGCATTGAAAACTCTGATATGTTACAAGAGGTGAGTAATACAAGGCTTTGGTGGTGGTGTGTCATCAGTATTGCACCAACCAAATCCAAAATGGGTGGGACACCTTAAAATGTGCATTTAAACAGGTGACAAAGAAGTGCAGTTGATAAAATATGTGTACCAGGTGAGCTGACCATAAGTTGAGCCATTCAGACAAATCATATTTTTTGCATAGTAAAGGTGTTTTACTATTGGGTATTGCAATAAATCTAACATTTTTACTGTGATTACAATTACTCATTCAGTCAATATAAAAATGTGAAAATCACTGTAGTTTAACTTTTTAAGGTCAGGGACAACTTATCAGTAAGAAAATATGCCAAGGACGCCCTATCGGTCCCCATAATGGCATTACAGTAATATTCAGAAGTTTAAAACATCTTTAAAACCAAATTTGGATGAAAGATTAATCTCATAGTATTTACTTGATTGGTGTTGTTGTTTCCACCAAGTGTTTGTGTGTGCGTGTGTGCGCGTGCGTGCCTGTGTGCAATTGTAGTATTCAAGTTATTATAATCTTTTCTGGATAATATGGCTACACATATCAATTGTGACCCAAATGACAATGATTTTTCATAACTGAGCTGCTATTGGGTTCATAGGAGACCTAAATTAGCAGGATTGCCTTACAGAATGGGCATGATCCAACCAACTGCACTGTGGGCTGTCTTTTGCAAGTGCTTCACTGAAACTATACACTATTACATAATGATTGCACATTTTACTGTGTCCAAACATTTTGAAATTTGGGGATGTCTTTTGATGAAAATATACTGCATCTGACTGGAAATAAGGACTGTGGGGGTCTTCCTGACTCACATGGGCCATCTTATTGGCTAGTTTGACTATGTGTGTGGCATGTAACCATTGTAGCAAACAAGTGGCGTAATGAGATCAATTAACAATGGGACTGTTCACTCCGTGGTGTTTGTGTCTTGGCCTCCTCATAGCTAAGTGGTTTGTAGCTGTTGTTTTGACTCTTTTGCTTTGTCTTTCTGGTGCATCTCTCTCTCCCTCTGCCAAAGTTATAATAAGCGAGCGAGAGACAGACTTCACCATTGGCTTATATTCCTAGATTTAGCCCTTCTCATATGTAGAGTGTGTGTATGTGTATGTGTGTGTGTGTGGTACAGTATAGCGTATAAAACTGGGTGTTGCTTGTTTTGTGGCTTGTTGTGATAAGGCTTACTAATACTTAGAGCTGGGGTACGTACTGTGCTGCGTAGCCTCGCATTCATTCTGACCATTATCACTTCAGGATGACAACAATGAGTGGTATGAGGTGGAGCTGTTTGGATGACCGTGAATTTGGACAGAAAGGTTAGATGCTTTGCTTGTGTCGGTGTGTGTTAGTTTTCTCAGCAGGTGGGGCATGTAGTGGTTCTGAATATTAATTATCCATATATTAACCAAAATGTCAATTATCAATCATCTTTCTGTGTTTTCTCTGTCCATTTTCTCAGACCATGGAGGAGTATATGAGCAAGCCTGCATTCTGACCGTGGAATCATGGACCTTTGATATAAAGAGCTAAAATGTACTGTAAAAAATATATTTGGAATGGAAATTATTTTTAAAGAGGAATTATGATCATTTGCATATATTCTGCCTAAAACATTGCTTGTTCAAGGTAATAATTTAATTGTTTTTATACAGAATGCACAGTTTAGAATTTGCTTGTTCAGGGAAGATAAAGTGGAATTAGATTTAGAGTTTTTGTAATTACACCAAGGCTATTTATAAAGATGTGATGTGTTTATTAAACCACTACAATATAAGGGAAATGGAAATCCTAGCACATCTTTTTCTAAGGATAATTATGCTGTCTAATTTTTTAATTATAGAAAATATTTGCAGTTGAAGTGTCAGTAGTGTGTGTACTCTGCAGTTTGCTAGAGTGGGTGTGAGGATATTGTAATGTGCAATTTTGATATGTTGTAGCTCTAAATTAAAATAATGTAGTTTGATATGTTTGTTGGTCCTATTCTTGATCCTTGTTGATGTTTGCTGTACTAGTTTTAATAAGGCAACTGAACCCAGCAAGGAGAAAAATAATACCGCTGATGCTTTATTCTTCTGTGATTCAATACACATTATTGAACATGTACAAAATGGTTTAAAAATGAGCGCACAGAGCACAACCACTGTTAGGCCAACATGATGCAGTATGAAAGGGTTGGAAGGCAGGCGACGGTCTCATAATAAAACTCAGATATTCAGAACAATAATTTCACCCTGAATTAGACATTTGTTCTCTGCTCCACATCTTTTCTTCTCAAGATACTTTGTTGTACACCTTAGCGTCTCAAAAGGTGGAATAGCTTTAGCTTTAGTTTGAAAGGCCCAGGCAGCATTTTACTGAGTACATAATCTTGACACACATGAAAAATATTATTGTTACTCTGTAGATTATATTTGAAAATATAGGCCAGTTTTCTGTTTACAAACACCATATATGTAAACAAACAACATCACAAACGTCACTTTGGGTTTCATATACATTGGTGTTTAGATTTGGCAATGACAGGCACAGACCAAACTAGTTGTATTCTATAGATTGTACCTTTAAATCTCATGATCTGTCTGGAACATTCCTGCAGCAAGTATAGGGACTTTGATATATTTATATATTTTACAAAGGTAAAATTGCTATAGTTCTTTTTCATTAGGGTAGATATAATACCAGTATAATACCATAAACTTATTAGAATAGAAATCTGTAAACTAGATCACATCCACCAAACTTATTTTAAGACGGTATAAATACTAAAACCTTAAACACGTGCGTCTGATCTCCAAACCTTAAATTTACATTCCTGCCACCACTTTCTCCTTATTCTCTCCCTCTTCGTTGGTGGTTTGAGGAGCTTGTGTCTTGTCAAATGGGGCGTCTTTTTGCATTTCTGTGGGGTTTACATTTTCAGTAGCTGTGACTTCGGTCTCCCTTTTGGCCACTGGTCTCTTTTCATTTTGATCTAAATAGTCCTTCATGGCCTTCTCGTAAAGCTCATAAGGGAACTGTCCTTTGAGCTGCGCCTGGGTGTCTCTCTTGTTGATGGTGTTGGGGTATTCTGTAAGGATTTTGGCTGCCAGGTACGTGGTCACCTCATCTTCAACATCGTCATCTTCATCATCTGTGTCAGTTTGACGCTTGAGTGGCATTTTGTTAAGCTCAGAAAGGAACAGATTCTCTCTGCGTCCAGAGGGGGCTGGGATTCTGACTGGCCCTGAGCTCAAAGCTGGAAGTGAAGAGATCCTGTCTGAAGATGGAGCAGTTTTCATGGGGCGCTGGATCACTGGGTACTCATTACTGATGGTCTCCACTCCAATGATGTCTAAGAAGTCCTCTCTGTCCATGTCCTCTGGCTGTGTCTTGCTCTTGACTGGCAGCCTGCGGCTGAAGTATCTGATTTTGGGGGTTTGCCCGGTGGTGGTGGAGAAGCGGGTGGAGCCCTGGGGGTCACGGTGCAGCTTCCGGAGCTCCTCTGTGAGAAGCATGTCGATGAGGTCCTGTGGGGGGACGTGGAGCTTCAGGGAGAGCTCTAGCAGCTCTTTGACTGTGCGTGGATCCACAATAGAGGGACGGATCAACCTCTTTTTCTGCTCTCCTTCCACATCTCGCTTTTTCTGTGACTGGTCACTCATTTCCAGCACTTTGAGCAGATAGTAGTCCACTAATTTAGTATCATCATCGGCCTCCTCCTGGTCCTGGTTGGCCCTGCGCTGCACCTCCTCTTCTTCCTCACTGTCTGGTTCTGTGGCTCGGTCCACCTCCTCACGACTTTTATTCACCATCTCCTCAGTCTCCTCCCTCTCCTCCACAGGGACCCACTCCTCTCCCCCAGCTACATCCTCATAGGCTTGGCTTCTAAGGCTCAGTATGTCCTCGTCCTGGTCTTCGTCCTCCCCTTGCAAGGTCCTCTTCTGTACCATTGGCATGCGCCCCAGTTCATCAAAGATGGATCGCAGGTTGGCGAGGCTTTGAGGAGTGTACTGCTCATCTAAGTCCTCTGTGGCCCGTTTAGAGGCGTCTGTATTCTCCTCATCCTCAAACATTAGAGGGTATTTCTTGTGCGCCCGGGGTGTGTTGCTGTAGTCAACAGGCGCACTCTCGGGCGTTTCCGTGTCTTTTGTGCGGTGCCGGTGCGCACGCCGGTGGCGGGCTGCTCCTTGGTTCTCCCTGCAGAGAGCGGAGCAGAGCTTTCATGAGCTGCTCAGCGGTGATGTCCTGCCTTTGGAGTGTGCCCGGTGCGGCTTCATCCTGCTGCTGCTGTGTGGCCAACTGAAGCAGGACACGAAACTTCTCCACCTCATCATAGTCCGCCGGCTCGCCACGGCCCTCGTTCCGTTGTTTCAGGTTCTCGATGTACTGCAAGGCTTTCATCATATCCGGGGACGGCTGGACATCACCGTCCCCGCCTCGCAGCCTGTAGTGGCGGGGGAGAGACGCAGCCTGCGCGACGCTCACGCAAAGCAGGGCGGCGAGCAGGAGCGCCGCTCCCCCCGTGGGCAACTTGTGGTGGAAATGCAGCATTATAGGCTTTTGACTACCTGTAAACAAAAACAAACACACAACATCAGTAACAGTGAACAGGCCTATGAAACACCATTTTGGTAGTTTTATAGCCTAAAGAGACAATTTTATGAATATTTTCTGCGGTTAAAAAAGGTATTTTTCTTATTCAATAAAGACAGTGATCCATAGAGTCCAAATAAAGGAAGCAAAAAATACATTCATGTCCGACACAGATAATACATGTGTGCATATTGTGGTCGCTAAATCAGACTTGAAACCGAATCAAACAACATGTTTTCTTTTCGTGCCTGATCGACCGTCTGTTTTGACGCGCAATCTGTACTCTATGCTTTTCGCGTTCACGCATTCATTCAGCGGTGGATGAGTCACCGCAGGTTGTTACTGGCAACAGCAGCATCCATTTCCAGCACGACTAAATATACGAAACAACGTAGAGTACAATATTTATCTAAGCAATCGGTTTAATCTGTCCTTCGTGATAGTCATTAGTATTCTAATAGTCCAATAGTACATTGACTATTCTATGAGAATGCTCACGTTTGGATTGGCCTAGATCATTCTCGACTTTAATAATCTAATCTAATTAACGATATGTGCTTTGAAATGCGTGTTAATATTTGTCTTACCTTTGGCAATGGAGGTCAGACAGTCGCGAAGGTGTATGGCATCTCCTCTGGTGCGGTTCTGTTTTCAGCACTTGGACAGCTCCCCCCGTTATAAGAGGCGACACCTGACCAACGCGTCATCACAGCGCACGTACGCAATAGCGAGGCTCAAGAGGCGGAGAGGAGGAGGAGAAATCCATATAAATGATTCAGGTCTGTGATACGGTATGCTAAAACGCAAGCCTGTTTTTAAAAATAGCTCTGCGTGTCTGTTTCTCAGCGGAGTGCTATTGGCTGGAAAGATCTTTTAATAAGTATCCAGGTAGTGGATGTATAGGACTGTGAATACAGGCACTGCACTGTGACGTCAGTGCTGTCTTGTCAATGTTCTAGAGCTTATTGTGACAACAAAAAATGTACAGTGTGCCATTCAGGCCATGGATATATCTTTAGAGATGCA